TATATATATATATATATTGTTTATTATTTTTTCTGTATTTTTATTTTTTTAATTTTAATTATTTATCGTTTTATTATCTATTTAAGAACACACAACCCCCGATTCCAAAAAAGTTGTAAAATCAACATAAAAACAAAATGCCATGATTTTCTAATCTTATAAACCTATATTTTATTCATATTAGAAAATAGAAAACATATCAAATGTTTAAACTGAGAAAAGAAACCATTTTAAGAAAAAAAGAAGGTAATTTTGACATAGATGGCAGCAACATGTCTCAAAAAAGTTGGGACATGGCCATGTTTACCACAGTGTAGCATCAACTCTCCTTTTAACAACACTCTACAACACTAAATGTCTGGAAACGGAGGAGACCAGTTGCTGGTGTTTTTGGATAGGAATGTTGCCCCATTCTTGCCTAATATATGATTGTAACTGCACAACAGTCCCACTTCTTTTTTTTCATATTTTTTGTTTCAAGATGTGCCAAATATTTTTAATTGGTGAAAGGTCTGTACTGCAGACTGGCCAGTTAAGCACCTAGACTCTTCTACTATGAAGCCGTGCTGTTGTCATAGGTGCAGTATGCAGTTTAGCATTGTCCTGCCGAAATATGTAAGGCCTTCCCTGAAAAAGATGACGTCTGGATGGAAGCATATGCTGCTCTAATTCCTGGATATATCTTTAAGCATTGATGGTTTATTTCCAGATTTGCAAGCTGCCATTTCATACGCACTAATGCACCCCCATACCATCAGAGATGCAGGCTTTTGAACTGAGCGCTGATAAGCTGGAAGGTCCCTCTCCTCTTTAGTCCAGAAGATGCGGTGCCCATGGTTGCCAAAAAAGAATGTCAAATTTCGATTTGTCTGACCACAGAACAGTTTTCCACCTTGCGACAGACCATTTTAAATGAGCTTTGGCCCAGAGAGGTTGGTGGCGTTTCTGGATCATGCAATTTTACGTTGAGGAACATTCTGAAATTGTTCGACAATTTTTAGATGCAACTTTTCACAGATTGGGGAACCTCTGCCCATCTTTACTTCTGACTCTCCAAGATGCTCTTTTTATACCCAATCATGTTACATCATACATATATAATCTATCGCTGAACCAGTTAAAATCAAATATTATAGTATATAGTATATAATCGTGCTAGTTATTATTTTGTAGTCTGTATTCAGGAGATATATTACCATTAAACCTGCAAACCTTTCATTTTTATACTTTGCCTTTGGATAATGGCATTACCTGTCAGAATGTGTACACCTTGTTTTTTTTAACTGCTATTGTCCTGCTGGAGTCTTGTTAACATCCCAGTGATTTGGTTTCTTTGTTTGTTGTCTTTCTTGTGGGCTATAAAGATTTCTCCTCATTATGTGAAGCAGTGGTGTTAATGATAGATTAATCAAGTTGACATTTAGGTCATAGCTATTAAACCAGTGGCTGCACACGCTATAATAACACTTAGTGTAGATTAGATTAGTGTAAATTCTGCATTGTGTTTTGTTATATATCTGCTCTGAAAAAAAAGTAATATATATATATATA